TTTTCCCATCAGCTCCTATGTAGCCTCTGAGAAACCATAATACACCATGGTCATACACTGTTCCATAGGGCATATTAGAATCCGTGTAAATAGTGACAGACTGATCTTTGTACAGTTCACATGCTCTAGTGAAAACAATTCAGCAGCCTGGGGGTGGGCTGATTGAAAAAGGGATTTGTCATTTGGGCCTAGTGCAGGAGCCATCTATGAAAACAACATCAGCATTTGGGATTGGAATCTTTAATAAATCCAGTCTGGGTGAAATATTAGCCTCAATGGATTTGAAGCAGTCATGAACCTCGGGTCCTAGATCGTTTGACAATTTGAGACCCAACAGTGCGTTTAAGATCATTGCTAGACCTGAGTTGTTATACTTGATATGCAACATGGGGTTGCTCATCAAGATAACCTCACATCCGCTGAGTTGTTGGGAGGACATGTGCTGAGTGTGTATATTTCTTAGTAAAATAGCTACATTATGTGTAGTGTGCAATATCATAGGGTGTCCTAAGGTGAATAACATAGACATCTCCACAGCCATAACATAAAATGCCAACACTTTGAGACACTCAGGCATATGCCTTGGACCTGAACTGGCACCATTTTTGAGAAAAAAAGCTACAGGGCGAAATCTGCCTCCGTGCTCTTGGGCGAGTACACCAGCCATGGTCTTACAATTGTCCCTTGCATACACATGAAACATTTTTACATAATCAGGAAGGCTAAGGCCTGGGGCAGTTACCATTTGCATTTTTCAAATACACATATGCATCAACCATGTCATCTGACCACTTAACAATTTCTGACATTTTCTGGGTTGTTTGACTTATCATAATAGGAACAGTCAGGTATCCCCACTGGCTTGGCAGTAACCAATGGCTCCAAGAAAGGAGAGCATGTCTTTCTTGGTTTGTGGGCGGGCAAGTTTCAGGAGAGCCACAGCTCTCTTTGGACTGACTTTCCTTTCCTCCTTTTGTAAACACAAAACCCAGATATTCAACACTTGTTTTACACCATTGTTGTTTTTTTCTTTGACACTTTGTGTCCACCTTCAAAAAGACATTTCAACAAACTTTCCCCATCCCTCAGGCCGGCCCCCTTAGTGAGACTGCAGAGGCAGATAACATCCGCGTACTTCAGCAGGACTGACCCATAGTCCGGTATCCACCCCCTCAGAGTGGCCTGGAGAACAGTTGAGTAGACTACAGAAAAATCTACAAAAACCCAGAGGCATTAAACAGAAAACAAAAATGGGCTGTGTCTCTGCATCAACAAAGACGCTAAAAAAATGCATTTGCTAAATCAACTACTAAAAAAACATTCAGCATCAGACGGTATGGCTGTAAAAAAAAACGGAATGTCAAACAACACACCAACAGAACAATGTTTTTTATATACAGTCAATGTCCTCTATTTTCCAAACATGTAATTATTAATGTGTCTCCTACAGTGAGAAATGGATATTGCTTGGTTTGTATCTGGTTCTACCTGCCTGTCCGGGACTGAAAATTTTATCTATTCCTGCTTTATTTGCCAAGTCTACTAATAGGGACCCTGTTATCTCTTTTAATCCTTCAGCAGAAAAGTTCCCTCATTCTGTGTGGAATCAGGAATTCCTTGGGTGGGGGTTCAGGTTGGTCTTCCACTGCGTCCTGGACTGGGACGGTGGATGAGGCTGTGGGTTGGATTTGCTGCTGTGCTGCAATAAAAAATTCACGTCCTCTTTGGAGAAGGAGGGATATTTTCTGACAGTACGGAGCTGACAGTACAGAGCGGGTCTAGTAACACATAACCACTTATCACTCTCAACAAAAGATAGACAATAAGAACTTAAATATTGACTCTATTTCAATAACTTCGACCCGTTCACTTACCAAAAAAAAATAACCGGTTCACTTATTACTTTTGCATAAACAAATTATATTATACTCTATGCATTTGATAGTAGAAGCAAAGAAAAGAAAGTTGGTTACCCTCAACAGACTAGTTAAGACTCTGTAATTATACCTAGACCCCGTCTAAGTATTTCAAATGTAGACCCCGTCTACAGAAATCACCTTTCCTTATCTGAGTCTCCCGGAGACTCAATGAAGTATTCCCGGAATACTCCTGTCACAGTTCAGAGATCGAGAGTTAAGTCAGAGCCCACGGACAGCCGGACAGACAGACAGATTTTGTATATCTTACCGGGTGACCGCAAATGGGTTGACCTCCCGATCTCGGTGGGACCTCCAATTGAAAGGTTGTCCATAGCCCCTGGCTATCAGTCTTTATAGTCGGTTTCAGGTACGGACGCGTCGGAGAGATTGATTTCAACTATCACTGTGTGTATGTGTATGTCTGTTGTCTTTTCTGAGATTAAGTCAATCTCCCCGACGCGTCCGTACCTGAAACCGACTATATAAAGAGTCCGATCCGAGTTCAAATCTCGGTGGGACCTCCAATTGAAAGGTTGTCCATAGCCCCTGGCTATCAGTGTTTATAGTCGGTTTCAGGTACGGACGCGTCGGGGAGATTGACTTCATCTCAGAAAAGACAACAGACATACACATACACACAGTGATAGTTGAAATCAATCTCTCAAGTTTATTAGTGGGAAGAAAATTAATATAACAGAAATAAGAAAGGTGGGGGGCACAGAGTATCAAAAAGCTGAGTTGTCAGTATTTGATTGGCTGAATACAAATAAGACAACATTGACGTCAATTCTGAAATGTGATGAGAAGCGGGGTTTCATTTTCCCAACAATAAAGAAAGTTTCTAAATTGTTTTAAAACACTTATCTACTACATACAATAGAATCTCGCTAGATACTTGTCAAGGCTATGAACATGACTTTCTCAGGCCTTGAAATCAGTTACAAGTATCCAACAATTATTTTCCCATGGGACAGAAGTAGTTGACTTTTAATTATATCATAACAGAAACAGGTGCTGTTAGTACAAAGAAATAATTGGATACTATCTCCTCTACCAAGACTAAGCTTAAGAAGAATACTGTGAGTATAAATTCTGTAACACATAACTGACACAGCATATTTTCATTAACTCATTCTGGGTATAATACAAAACAATTAACATGTTAGTACAAAATATAAAATGGAGTGGGGGGAAAACAAAATGACAGACCTAAAAGACATACATTCCCCTTCAGGCCCCTGTACCGCCTCCTCATGCTGCTGCCAGGTCCACAGTGTGTCATGCCATGGGCCACTTTCAGGTGTCCTCACACTCCTGCTGGATTCCATTTTGTCATAGGATGCTGGCAGATTACGGGCGTCTCCCATTGCTGCGGCAGGCCCCTAATGTGCCATGGGCCCCTGTACCGCCTCCTCATGCTGCTGCTGCCAGGTCCACAGTGTGTCATGCCATGTGCCACTTTCAGGTGTCCTCACACTCCTGCTGGATTCCATTTTGTCATAGGATGCTGGCAGATTACGGGCCTCACATTGCTGCGGCCAGGCCCCTAATGTGCCATGGGCCCCTGTACCGCCTCCTCACGCTGCTGCCAGGTCCACAGTGTGTCATGGGTCCCTGTACGGCCTCCCATTGCTGCTGTCTCCATCGCCACACTCTGCCATGTGCCACTTTCAGGTCTCCTCACACTCCTGCTGGGTTCCATTTTGTCATAGGATGCTGGCAGATTACGTGCCTCCCATTGCTGCGGCCAGGCCCCTAATCTGCCATGGGCCCCTGTACCGCCTCCTCACGCTGCTGCCAGGTCCACAGTGTGTCATGGGTCCCTGTACCGCCTCCCATTGCTGCTGTCTCCATCGCCACACTCTGCCATGTGCCACTTTCAGGTCTCCTCACACTCCTGCTGGATTCCATTTTGTCATAGGATGCTGGCAGATTACGGGCCTCACATTGGCGGCCTCACATTGCTGCGGCCAGGCCCCTAATCTGCCATGGGCCCCTGTACCGCCTCCTCATGCTGCTGCCAGGTCCACAGTGTGTCATGCCATGTGCCACTTTCAGGTGTCCCTCACACTGCTGCTGGGTTCCATTTTGTCATAGGATGCTGGCAGATTACGGGCCTCACATTGCTGCGGCCAGGCCCCTAATCTGCCATGGGCCCCTGTACCGCCTCTCCTCACGCTGCTGCCAGGTCCACAGTGTGTCATGGGTCCCTGTACGGCCTCCCATTGCTGCTGTCTCCATCGCCACACTCTGCCATGTGCCACTTTCAGGTCTCCTCACACTCCTGCTGGGTTCCATTTTGTCATAGGATGCTGGCAGATTACGGGCCTCCCATAGCTGCTGCCAGGCCCCTAATCTGCCATGGGCCCCTGTACCGCCTCCTCACGCTGCTGCCAGGTCCACAGTGTCTCTCATGGTCCCTTGCTGCGGCCATCACACTTTCCAGCTCCTCTCATCCTGCTGGGTGTCCCATCCATCGTGCCACACCTCTGCTGCTATGTGCCACTTTCATGGGCCTCCTCACACTGCTGGTGTGTTCCATTTTGTCATAGGGTGCTGGCAGATTACGGCCTCCCATAGCTGCTGCCAGGCCCCAATCTGCCATTGGATGGGCCCCTGTACCACCTCCTCACGCTGCTGCTGCCAGGTCCACATATGTCAGGGGTCATGGGTCCCTGTACTGGCCAGGCCCATTTCTGCTGGGTACCCCTGTACCCCTCTCACTCTCCCGATATCGGGGACTCCACACTCTGCCATGTGCCACTTTCTCAGGTCTCCTCACACTGCTGGTGTGTTCCACAGCTGTGTCATAGGGTGCTGGCAGATTACGGGCCTCCCATAGCTGCTGCCAGGCCCCTAATCTGCCATGGGCCCCTGTACCGCCTCCTCATGCTACTGCCAGTCCACAGTGTGTCATGCCATGTGCCACTTTCAGGTGTCCTCACACTGCTGCTGGGTTCCATTTTGTCATAGGGTGCTGGCAGATTACGGGCCTCACATTGCTGCGGCCAGGCCCCTATCCGCCATGGGCCCCTGTACCGCCTCCTCATGCTGCTGCCAGGTCCACAGTGTGTCATGCCATGTGCCACTTTCAGGTGTCCTCACACTGCTGCTTGGGTTCCATTTTGTCATAGGGTGCTGGCAGATTACGGGCCTCACATTGCTGCGGCCAGGCCCCTAATCTGCCATGGGCCCCTGTACCGCCTCCTCACGCTGCTGCCAGGTCCACAGTGTCTCATGGGTCCCTGTTCGGCCTCCCATTGCTGCTGTCTCCATCGCCACACTCTGCCATGTTCCACTTTCAGGTGTCCTCACACTGCTGCTGGGTTCCATTTTGTCATAGGGTGCTGGCAGATTACGGGCCTCACATTGCTGCGGCCAGGCCCCTAATCTGCCATGGGCCCCTGTACCGACTCTCATGCTGTGACGTTGCAACAAGGTGGAATTCAACCCTACATATGTTAGACCGCCTTTACGAACAGCGAAAGGCCATCACACCGATTTCCTGATGTTACAAGCGGATAAAGGTACTCCCCTGTGTAACTTAGATGTCAGCCATTGGCAGCTCATGCGTGACACCTGCCGCTTGCTCAGGCCCTTTGAGGAGGCCACGCTATTCGTGAGTCGGCAGGACTATGGGATGAACGACGTCATTCCTCTGTTGCACGTCCTGGAACAAATGCTGTTAACAATGGCTGGTCAGGGTGCGGTAGACGTGGCGCACAGATCTCAACGCCACATGACCCCCTGTGGGGCAGACAGGAAGAAGAGGAGGAGGTAGAGGAGGACATTTGTGCTCAGGAATTATTGAGTGAAATGGGTGGTTTTTCCACTCAGCGGACAGGAGTGGAGGAGCAGGAGCATCTGGTAGAGGAGGAGGAGGAGGAGACAGAGGACCCAGACGCACCGTGGCAGTATGCTGTGGAATGAGATGGAGGCAGGGAGTCCCTCGCATTCCTTGGCACAAATGGCCCATAAGCATGCCTCGCACTTCGAGGTACAAAATGGCCATGCATCGGATTGCTTGCGTAGCGACAGCCGAATAATAACCATCAGACAGAAGGGATGACTTTTGGCTGTCCACCTTGTTGGACCCTCGCTACCCTCGTTCCAAAATGGTGGCCTTTTTCACACCTGCTGAGAGGGAGGCCAAAATTACGTACTATAAAAAACCAACTATGTAGTCAGTTGGTCTCTGCCTTTCTGCGCCAACGTCCATCCTCAGACACTGTGGGCCCTGTGCGCTCGCGTTCCGCTGCCATGGCAGCAGGGGAGGGGTGGGGTGGTAGGAGCAGTGGCAGCTCCACCAGCAGCGTGGGTCCCTGTACGGCCTCCCATTGCTGCTGTCTCTCATTGCCACACTCTGCCATGTGCCACTTTCAGGTCTCCTCACACTGCTGCTGTGTTCCATTTTGTCATAGGGTGCTGTATGGCCTCCCATTGCTGCTGCCCGAATCCACCGCCACACTGTGGCTCCACACTCTGGTTTTGGCCCCGTGACTGGCCAAATGAGTGAAGTGTGCGGTGATTCTAATCGATCGACGGCACTCATCTGCATGTCATACTGACTGACAGTATTATTTCTCTTCACCAGCAGACTCCAAGGGCATTTAAATTAAAGGTACAGTGTTCTGCAGTAATATAAAGGCTTTCTGAAGCCTAGAAACACCCCTTTTATAAGTTAAAATCGCAGCGAATATATTCGACTCGAATCAAATTTTTTTCACGAATTCGCCGAATCAGTCGAATCGAATTTTTGAATACTTCGCTCATCTCTAGTGATAATCACAACAAACATATAATGACAATAATGAATGATAAACGTATATAAGAGTGAGCGCTGCTAGGGGGCAAAGGTGACAATGTGAGGACACCGTCTTATGATGACGTTTATGTTATGAACACCAAAATCAAGGTGACAACTTCTAGGAAGTTCATACAGTCAAATGCATCAATAATCCAGATATTAAGGTGCTCCGTGCTCCGTGTTCCGTGACTCCAGGTGAGAAGAACCGGTAACACTATGGACTTACCAGAAGCACATATTTCATGTGCAGAAAAGACATCCAAAAAGGGGGAAGGTCACCTGGGTCTGGTCTAGGGCTGCGGGGTCCTCAAGCTCAATGTGGACACATGGGATGACACTGCTCACACTGGGGTCACACTCCGCTCATATACCCATCCAGCTCAAAGATCACAGCATACAGGGACCCTCCAGATCCAGAAAAAGGTTCCACCTTGCAGGGCTCATGAATAACCCAGCCAGAGAGTAGATATGTGCCAATAGTGAAGTATGTTTATTGTAAAGGCAAATATTTTAAATAGATGTCAAAGAACTCACATGTGAAGGTACAGTATATAAAAATGGCCGCCGGCCTCCTCGTGGCCGTGCGTGGTGTGACGTCACTCCGGAGGGCTCCCCTTGACACGTTTCGTGCACCAGCACATTGTCAAAGGACAGGGGTCAGAAGCGCAGTGTACTGGATCTGCTGGGCGGAGGACAGGGGTCAGAAGGGCAGTGTACTGGATCTGCTGGGCAGAGGACAGGGGTCAGAAGGGCAGTGTACTGGGTCTGCTGGGCAGAGGACAGGGGTCAGAAGGGCAGTGTACTGGATCTGCTGCTGCGGGAGGACAGGGGTCAGAAGGGCAGTGTACTGGGTATGCTCTGCAACAGACAGGGATCCCAAAGGCAGTTTACTGGATCTGCTGGCAGAGGACAGGGGTCAGAAGGGCAGTGTACTGGATCTGCTGGGCAGAGGACAGGGGTCAGAAGGGCAGTGTACTGGATCTGCTGGGGCGGAGGACAGGGTCAGAAGGGCAGTGTACTGGGTATGCTCTGCAACAGACAGGGATCCCAAAGGCAGTGTACTGGGTCTGCTGGGCAGAGGATAGGGTCAGCAGAGTGAAGGACAGGGGTCCAGTAGTAAGGGAAGCAAAGTTCAGAGGTCAGTAGTGACCCAGAGTTCAGAGGTCAGTAGTAAGTGACACAGTGGACAAATTTTGTCTAACAGTTGGAGGGACTCGTGGGAGTGGATGATCCCCCCCTTAAATTAAGAATCCCCATCAGTGTTCCCCCTCAAACAAGGTCCCCCCTAATATCAGAGTCCCTAGAGTTACCCCCTTTACTTTAGGGTCCCCAGAGCCACCCAAAATAACAAGGTCCCTAAGTCTACAGAGTTTTTCTTGTTAAATCAGGGTCCCCCCTCCTCCCTACATCAGGGTCCTCAGGGTCCCCCTCCTTACATTAGTGTTCCCAGTGCAATCCCCCCTTCCATCATGGTCTCCAGGGTCCCTTTCATTCCATCAGACTCCCCAGATCCCCCCCTTCCTTCTATCAGGCTTTCCAGAGCCCCCTCTCCTTCAATCAGAGTCCACTCCCCAGAGCCCCCCCTTCTTTACATCAGGGTCCACTCTCCAAAGCCCCTACTTCCTTATATCAGGGTCCACTCCCCAATCGGGGTTCCTGGAACATTGCTCCTTACATCGAGGTCCCTATATTCACCCCCACCTTACATCAAGGTACCTCCTTACGTCAGGGTCCCCAGAGTCCCTCTGCTTACATCAGGGTCCCTAGAGCCCCCCCTTCCTTCCATCAGGGTCCACTCCCCAGTGCCCTCCCCTTCCTTCCATCAGGGTCCACTCCCCAGAGCCCTCCCCTTCCTTCCATCAGGGTCCACTCCCCAGAGCCCTCCCTTTCCTTCCATCAGGGTCCACTCCCCAGAGTCCCTAATACCTTACATCAGGAGGAGGCGGGGCACTGCCAGCAGGCTTGGAGGGGGAAGCTCCGCCCGTCCTCTAAATGCAGCACGCTCCCAGCACAGAATGATTCCAGGTCACCTGATTGCTGTGATGGCCATTGATTGGCTATCACAGAGATCAGTCATTGTGAAGCCCACCCCCGTGTTTTCTCTCTCTGAATGTAGGAGAGATACATTTTATCTACCTCTCTCCTTGCAGAGAGAAAAAAAAACAACTGTGTGTAATAAAATTTATAAAAAAATAATTATTAAAAAAAAACACCTAGATGGAGGTTTGTCAGACCTCGGTCAGTGCCAGGGGGTTAGTGTTTGGGTCAAGGTCAGGGTCAGTATTATTTTGATCAGGATTTTTTTTTCTAAATCAGTGTCAGTGTCAGTTAGTGTCGGTGTGTTTTATGTAGGATAAAAAAAAAGAAAAAAATCAGAATGCACACTGTTGATTCTAGGCTGTACTACGGGTACAAACAACTAACATACACACATGTGGTATCGCTGCGATCGTCAGGAGCAGGAGAATTTATTTTGGGTTGTTCTTTGGTGATAGGTTATGGAAGAAGCAAGAAATATACAGCTAAATAAAAAAAAATGATTTATTTTACTATTATTGATAAAAATCAAGAGATATCCATTATCATTTACCATCAAAATGAATGAAAGTACAATTTCTCCCGAAATAATTGCGGTATAATCCCCCTGAATGCACACAGTAGGTAGTGATGATATGTACAGATTCACTAACACATGTCAAAGTTATAACATGATTTTCCTATGGGGGCAGGTTTACATCCTTTTTTTCACCCGGTTTTTATTTTTTGGAAAGGGGTCAGGGGGCCTTTTTTTAAAGCCCAAAACGTTGGTTTTTGGTTTTTTATAGGCTTCAATTTGGGAAAAATGCAGAAAAGCTGTTATTGCGTTTTTGGGATTTTTAAAACTGGGCCCCAGCAACAAGAAAAAAAAAAAAACGCGTCCAAAAAAAGCAAAAAAAACGCAAAACCGCAAAAGCAGGAAAACACTTTAAACCAACCTGCATAGGTTTTGGACCCCGATTTAAAAGGGGGATTCCTCGACCTCGGAGAGTTTTTCCCTTTTGTTTTCTTGTGAACAGGAAAAAGAAAATAAGTTTAAAAAAAAACTGAGCGAGGTTCTAACCCTTTTCCCCACTCTATCAAAAATAAAACAAAGGAAAGGCTTTAGATACATTGTAAACCCAAAACCTGAAAAATGAACGCTTCCCAAAATTTCTAAACCGAACACTTCAAGGATTCAACAAAAAATTTATTGAACCATCAAAAAAAAGAAAGTTTTGACAATAAAAATTTACAATTTAAAAAATCGGCAAAACCCAAAAATCAAATCCCCAAAAAATAAAATGGGACAAAAATAGAGACAAAATAAAATGCATAAAAAGGGAAATCTAAAACCTTAAAATGCTGGGGGGAAAAATTTTAAAAAAACAATAAAAAGGTTTAAAAAAGACTTCTCAGTAGAATTCCCAGAGACAACCAACAGGTGGGGTTTGCTTTTTTACCACCCCATGCATTTTTTTTCTCTTTACGCATTTGTTTTCTTTTTTTAGGCTTTTTTCCCCCCCCGTTTTCACCCGGTGATCTGGTCAGCGGGCTGGGGGGAAAAAAAAAGGGGGGGGGTTTGGGGGGTGGATTTTCCCTGGGCAACCCGTGAAAAACATGTGAGGGCGGGGGGGACCCAAAAGGGGGGTTGGGGGGGGTGTATTTTTTTTGCAAAATAGGGGAGGTTTTTTTTGTTTGGGGGTGGGGGGTTTTGGTGCCGGGAATGAAATTGGGGGGGATTTGTGGGTTTGGATGGGGATTGGTCGGAAAAATTTTTTTTCCCGGGGGGGCGAAATTTTGAGTTTTGGGGGGAGAGGATTTTTTACCTAGAAGTGAAATTTGAGGTGAGGGGGAGGGGATTTTTTACTTGCAAATGGGGAATTTCTTTCAGGAAATGAGGGGGATTTTTAGTGGGGGGGGAGGGGGTTTGGGGGGAGCACACATTTGTGGGTGGGGGGGGGATTTCAGCAAAGAGCAGACTTTTAATGGGAGGAGGGGGAATGCTTAGGGGTTTAAACAGGGAGATTGTCCATTTTTTTGTGGGGGGGGGATTTTTGTGTAAAAAAATTTAAAGCTCATACATTTGGGGGGGGGGGGGGGGCACAATTCAGCATGTTCCCCCGGGCTTTAGTTTATCTTGGCCCCGCACTGACTGGGCAGTAACACTCCTCCTGTAAATTTTTTTGACGCCCCCACTTGGAGGGAAACGGGAAAAGGGGGCCCCGCTTTTGGACAGTAGCATTATCTGTTCTGGGGGGAGGGGGGGAATATGTTAAATGGGAAAAAAACAGATTTAAATTTCACTAACAAATTGAAGCCCAAAATCCAAGCAGGGTTTCACCAAAACCCTGCTTTCCCTTTTAAAGGGTAAAAATTTTTTTCATAAAAAAAAAAGTTGGTTTTTGTAAACCCCCTGTCTTTTGGGAGGGTGGTTTGTCTCATCCCCATAAAACCCCTATATCTGCAAGGAGCTTGTTCCTTTGAAAAAACAACAGGGCATACTGGGGAGGATCACCAGATAAAAATAGAGGAAAGAAACCCAAAAAAAAAACTAATGCAAACCGTTTAATCTAAGAATTGGTAAACCCGCAAAAAAAAAAAAAATGTTTCCCCTTTTGGGGTTTTAAAACGGCCTTTTAGGTTTTTAGAATGTCCTTCCCCTTTTAACCCCCCTTTAAAGGGAAA